TATGACTGAGATTGAAATTTCAAAAATATGTCTATGATTCATTTTATTTCCTCTTGTGACAATTTTTGCTCATATCCTTTGCCATTTTTCCCCTCTCTCCTCTTCCTCATGAATTCTTCCAGATGCTAATGGGTAATTTGTTGGGTTTACTAACTCCTTGAAACTTCTTTTCTTGTATTCCTTTCTAATTATTCCTGTTTAGTTCCCTTTTTTTCCTTTCCCAGCTAGGGTTCGCTTCCTATTGTCCTTTCCCAGCTAAGATTTTCTTCCTATTTTTCTACACCCTGTCCCTGGCTGATCTCATCCATAGTGTTAACCATGTTTACCTATATTAATCTGAAATCTCTCTTCTGTCCTCTTGATCCCTATTTACAACTTTTTTGAGGGCATCTTCATAAGCATCTCAAATTTAGCTCATTCTAATTTATCATCACTATTTTCTGCTCCAGACTAGTCCTTTGAGATTACTTAGCTCAGATGGAAGAGTTACACCACCCAGTTTCTCAATGGACATGATAACAACTTTCCATTTACCCTATACATTAAGGTGTACACTAGTCCACCCTCCTCATTACTGCCAGAGTTCTCTTCCTAAAAAATTCAGGTTATATCATCTTCCTCTTCCTTTCTTTGCGTTCTGTGGAAGATAGCATAAATTATAAACTTCTTAGTGTATCATCTCGCCCAGGCTTCCTGTTCATCCATATTTTCTAACACTCACCCTTTCACCCTTTCATACCCTTTACTCTTATCACTAAAATTGTTTTATTGCCTCTAAAGAATCTGCTTCTTCTGCTTTTTGTCTTCTCTTGAATATTCTTCATAGTCCAGGTCAAATGGCACCTCCTCTGGGAACCCCTTCTTAGAATGCCCAGGACAAATTTCTCTGCTCTCTATATTACTCCCTTCACATCTCCTTCACATCTCCTTCATGATCTTAATTAAACTTTTACTGTGTGTCAGATATAAATACACACACACACACACACACACACACACACACACACACATGCTTACATATATACATATATATATATACACATATGCATACATATATAATACATGTAACATTCTTCATATCTGAAGTGGATAGTATGTTTTGTAGATATGATTAAATACATCGTGCCCATTTATATGCATATATATAGCATGTATATATGTATATCTAATACATACATATATTCGTTGTGCCCAGATTGTATACGTTTTTCTTCCAAAACAGAACTTTCCGTACTGTGTCCTGTCCATTTCCCCAATTTGACAAGTTGGGTTAGAATATTCATCTTGCTTTTGTTAGATACAGATGTCAAAAGTATCAATATACTTTCTTTCCTAAGAAACTGTTCTTAATTTTGATGGTATCCAATTTATAATTTTTAAAAATGGATTGTGCATTTGATATAGTATCTACATTTTTGCTTAACACAAACATTTTCTCTTATATTTTCTTCTAGAAGATTTTTGATTGTATAATCCTTTTAGAGTTACTCTTTATATATACAATACTGACAATTAAGTTTGCGAACTCATCCTAGAAAAAGTGCTGCATAATTCATTGCTGAATATCACCACAGTCACCTTTGAAGTACTCCCCTTGGGTAGCTCTGCATCTATGCCAGTGCCTAGTTCACTCATCAAAGCAATTTTGGAACTCTTTCTGGAATGGCCATCAGAGCTGTCATCCGAGAATGTTGGAGTTTGAATCAGAGCAACGAACAAACATTAAATTTCTTGTTAAACTTGGCAACAGTGGAAGTGAAATCAGGGACATATTAGTTCAAGTTTATGGGGATATTACCATGAAGAGAATGGCAGTATACAAGTGGATTAAACTTTTTCTGAGGGGACAGAAAGCATCATTGATGAAGAGAGGTCAGGATGGCCAGAACAAACAGAATTGACAAAAACATTGCAAATATTCATCGAATTGTATGTCACAATCATCAGCTTACTGTGAGAAGCATAGCAGACCAACCAAACATCAACAGAAAAACAGGAAAATCTTAAATGATGATCTTGGCATGAGAAAGGTGTGTGCAAAAATGATCCTGAAGGAGCTCTTGCATCACGACAATGCATCAGCTCAAGCAGCACTGCATGTGAGGGAGTCTTTAGCTAGTAAACAAATAACTGTATTAAACTTTTTTCTTTGTTCTTTTTTTTTTAGTCAGAATCTCACTCCATCACCCAGGTTGGAGTGCAGTGGCACACTCATGGCCACCCCAGCGTTCACCTGCTGGACTCTGGTGATCCTTCCACCTCCGCTTTCCAAGTAGCTGGAACTACAGGCGTGCGCTACCACACTCAGCTGATTTTTGATTTATTGTAGAGAGAGGTCTCGCCAAGTTGCCTGGGCTGGTCTCAAACCCGCAGGCTCAGGCAATCCATTCGCCTCGGCCTCCCAAAGTGCTGGGATTACAGGCTGAGCCACTGTGCCCAGCCAACTTTTTTCTTTACCTGAAGATAAAGAAAATATTGAAAGGAAGACATTTTGATGGCATTCAGGATATCAAGGGTAATACAAAGACAGCTCTGATGGCCATTCCAGAAAAAGAGTTTCAAAACTGCTTTGATGGGTAGACTAGGCACTGTCATTGGTGTATGTCTTCCCAAGGGGAGTATAGAGATGACCATAGAGATATTCAGTAATGTGGCATGTAGCACTTTTTCTAGGATGAGTTCGTGAACTTAATTGTCAGCTGTGTATTGTAAAACAGTGACCAAAGTTATTTTTTCATATCATATGATTATTCAGTTTTTCTAGCACTATTTGTTGAAAAGACTGTCTTTCTCCACTGAAATATCTTTCACCTTTGTCCATATTATGTAGTTCTAGTTTCACACATTTTTTTCTATTATCTACTTGCTTATCTTTACACCAATAACATACTGCCTTGATTGTGGTAGCTTCATAAAATAATACATTGTAAAATCAGAAGTCAGGTAATGTTAGTGCTCTAAATCTGTTCTTTTTTTTTCAAAGTTGTTTTGGCATTTCTAGGTCATTTGCATTTCTTATAAATTTCAGAATCAACTTTTCTTTCTTTTTTTCTTTTTGCGTGGCACTCTTACTCTTTTGCCCAGTGCTGCAGTGCAGTGGCATGATTATCCCTCACGATAGCCTTGACCTCGTGGGCTTAGGCGATCCTTCTGCCTCAGTCTCCTATGTCATGGGGCTACAGGTACGTGCCACCATACTTTGCTAATTTTTTCCTTTTTTTGTAAAGACAAGGTCTTGTTAGGTTTCCTAAGCTGGTCTGAACTCCTGGGCTCAGCGATTCTCCTGCCTCTTAAAGTGCTGGGATTGCAGGTGTGAGCCATCATTCCCAGCCTTCAACTTTCAATTTCTACAAAAAAAGTATATTGGGAGTTTGATTAGTATTCACTGAAACTCTAGATCAATTTGGTGAGAAATGACATCACAGCAATATTGAGTCCAGCCGAGGATGGAATGGAATCTCTCTCTGTTTATTTAGATTTTTAATTTCTTTCAGCAGTGCTTTGTAGTTTTTAGTGTATAGTTTTTACTTTATATTATGCAAGTTTTATCCTAAATATGTCTCTTTTTTTGAGTGTTATTATAAATGGTAATTTAGAAATTTTCAGTTTCTTATTGTTTATTGTTAGTAAATAGAAATGCAATCATTTGTTCTAGTAACTTGTATATAGATTTCAACATAATTTCTTCATAGACAGATAATCATGTTGTCTAAGAATAAAGTTTCCACTTTGGATGTCTTATATTCCTCTTTCTTCCCTTATTACACTGGCTAGAAACTCCAGCACAATGTTGAATAGAAGTGGCGAGAACAAAGATTCTTGCCGTTTTCTTGCTCTTGGGAATAAAGTCTTTCATCACTGAGTATGATGTTAGATGTAGATTTTCTTAAATATTTGGTAGAATTCACCAGTGAAACCAGCTTGGCTTGAAGTTTTTTGTGGGAAAGTTTTAAAACTATAAATGTAAGTTATTAAACAGATATAGGTCTAATCAGGCTATGTGTTTCTTCTTGAGAGAGCTTTAGCAGTATGTGCGATTCAGGCAATTTGTGTATTTTTATCTAAGCTATTGTTTTGTTACAAACTTACATCTCTCTATTGATTTGTCAAAAATTTCAGGTAATATTGTGAAAAGCACATTGATTGATATACTATAATGGGCAAGATAAAACATCATTTACATTTTTTTTTTTTCTGTGAATATCTGTATATTCTTTTTTTTTTTTCATTAATCAGTATTTTTTATTATGGTTTTGTGGGGTACAGTTAAGGGTTAGGTGTACAATGACGTTTCATTCAGGCACCCTGTAGATAAGAAGTGTTTTCCCATCCCCCGACAGATATTTGCTACTGTTAATCCCATCCCCCTCCCCCCCATAGTTTCCCAGTACCATCAGTCATTTTCTTATAGTATTGCATTGGATGTTCAAGGTCCATTATATGAGTGAGAACATGTGATATTAGGATCTTTGTTTTTGTGAGAGGTCACTCAGTATTATAGACTCTAGTTCCATCCAGGTTGCAGCGAAATTCATGATTTTGTTCTTTTTTATGGCTGCGTAGTATTCCATTGTGTATATGTACCACATTTTTTTAATCCAGTCCTCTTTTGATGGGCAGCCATGGTTGTTTCTAGGTTCTTGCTATTGTGAACAACGCTGCGATAAACATACGTG